TTAGGTTTAGTTTTTGTACCAATCGAGGGTGAATAAAACTATCAGTGCTACCACTGTCAATGAGAGCATTTACGAATGAACCATTAACCAACATGCCAATTGTTGATTTAGTTAAAGGTGAAATGGAAGCAGAAATGTTCTTTAAATTAGTTTTATGTTCAGAGTAGTCTAGTCAAGTGAGTGAAGGATTGTATGAGTTTAAAGGTTGATCAACAAGATTCATCCCTGCTGTTGTAAGTTTAGAAGATTTACATAACTTGGCAAAATGACCAACTTTCTCACATTTAAAACAAATCGACTCTCTAGCTGGACAGACAGCTTTAGCATGTCTTTGATTCCCACAGTTCCAGCAATTTGAAACAGAATTTGAGTTAAATTGCTTTGGCTTTTTTGTTATTGCAGCTACTGTTGTATCTGATGTATTATACTGGAGGTAATTTTCAGCATTTTTCTGCGCTGATTCCAAGGTTCTAGCTTTTGAAAATATTTCATCCAGACTTATTGTACTGTTTTCTAGTAGTCGCTGTCTGACAACCTGTGAATTTATCCCTGTTATAAATGCATCTCTAATATATTCATCGCGATATTCAATAGCAGACACCTGTTTAAAGTTACATTCTTTTGCTAAAACTTTAAGAGAGTGTAAATACTCATCAAAACTTTCTCCTGGCTGTTGCCTACGAGTTGCCAAGAGGTGTCGTGCATAAACCTCATTTGATGGTTTGATGTACACAGATTGTAAAGCTTGTATTGCTGCTTCATAATTTGGACATTCGCTTATTATTTCATAAACATCGGGCACAACAAAATTAGTCAGGATTTTTAACTTATTGAGTTCTTGAGGGAGTTCATCAAGATAATATTCAAATGTTCTGAGCCAATGTTTAAATAATTTTGTTGCCGAAGGTGAGTTCGGTAATGTATCCAAACGAGAAGGTCTTAGAACTCTATCCATATTTTATTTTGATAAGAGTAGAAAATTGAAGCACTTGTATAAAGAACTACAATATTTTAATTCTTAAGTTTTTCTACTCTAAAATAAACATAATCATAATAATCAAAACATAAAAACATAATCTAAAATAATCAAAACACAACAAATTTATTACGTAGCAATAACTTTAAAACTAGGTTGCTATCTAAATTTCCAAACTATGTATTATTACTTTAATTTTTTTGTTATGTTTTTTTATTGTTTTCTTTACAATGTAACAATGCATTGGGAATCTAACAATGTTTACATTGAAAATTAACAATGCAATATTAATTTCAATGTAGTATTTATACACTGTATATCAAAATTACCATCTGTATAATACACATAAATATCTTGGTATCAAATGTATGTGTATAATTATTATACACATACATTTGATACCAAGATATTTATTAAATATTTAACTATTATACTAAAATAGTTAAATATTTAATGTCAATTGTGAACACGTTTAACTTTATATTTCAGACAAACATAATAATGCAGAGCTTTATCTGGTCATTGTATAAAATAAATGATGCAAGTGATGTGTATGCAAACTGTAATATCTGTAAAAAAATGATTAAACGTGGAACTATTGAGGCTGGGCAAAAATGTTTTAGCACAACACCTCTGCATAACCACATCAAAATAATTCACCCAAAAGAATACCATATAGAACGAAATAAAAATGAACAGAAAAGAAAAGCTCAGGCTGTCAATAAAATCACACCAGAATTTTTTTCAACTAGTATTACAGTAAAAAAAGAGACTGCTTTGGAAACTTCTAAACAAACTTCAATAGACGAATATTTAAAGTCACAAAAGGTATGGAGCATTAATGACTCTAGGTCATAAACTATTCATCGTAAAATTGGGTTGATGATGGCCTTAGACAACCAGCCATTTACTTTAGTTGAAGATACAGGTTTTAATAACTTAATGAACCATTTAGAACCCAGATATTGCATGCCAAGTAGAAAATTTTTTTCTAAAACAATAATACCTCAACTTTACATGGAGTTAAATAATAAAATTTCTGATAAATTAATAAAAACAGATTACATAAGCTTTTCTTCAGATATATGGACATGCCCAATTTCTCATGAATCATTTATTTCATTGTCTAGCCACTCCATCGATAAAGATTTTAATAGATTTGATGTGGTATTACATGCTTCTCATTTTTCTGAAAGCCATACTGGAATAAACATATCCAAAAAGTTAGAAAGTATGTGGGATAGCTGGAAAATTGAAGCTGAAAGACGACATATTCTTGTAAGAGATGGTGCAAGCAACATGATAAGTGGGAGTAACCTAGCTGAAATTCCTGCAATCCATTGTACTATTCATTTACTTCAATTAGTTGTTTCAGATTCAATAAGTGAAAATATTGTAATTGATGTTCTTTCAAAATGTCGTCGACTTGTAACTCATTTTAACCATTCATCTCTAGCATGTAACAACTTTAAACAAATTCAGCTGCAACAAAATCTTGACCCTCTTTGTCTTGTTCAAGATGTCCCAACAAGATGGAACAGCACTTATCTTATGCTTGATAGATTAAACAAGTTAAAAATTCCAGTTCAACTATACTTAGCAGAACGTTCTGATTTAATGCCCTTTTCTACATTAGAATGGACATTAATATTAAACATTATTAAACTGTTAAAGCCTTTTTTCCAATTAGCTCAGGAAATGAGTTCAGAAATAACAACTTTGTCTTCTGTAATTCCAAATATGTGCTCATTGAAGAAATTTATGTCAAAATGTCAAGTTGATTTAAGTATTCAAGAAACAAAGAATCGGCTTACAACTTCTTTAAAAAATCGATTTTTTTCTGAAATAAATGATGCAAAGTCTTTAAACATTTTGAAAAATAGGTACTATGTCATAGCTACTTCAATTGATCCAAGATATAAGTTTTCTTTCTTTGAGGATGATATCAAAAAACAGGCTAAGTACTGGTTAATAAATGAAATTTTATCCTTTGAAAAAACTCTTGTTTGTTCTGAAGAAGTAGATTTTAGTGTAAATGAAGAACCATCACAATTGAATTTTTCAATTAATACTGAAAAAGAAGACACTCTTGAAGCATGTTTCAAAGAAATTATAAATGCAACATCTGAAAAAACATTACCTTTTAAAAAATTAAAGTTAGAGAAAAAATCAAATGAGATTTTGATTAGAAAAGAAATAAAAAAGTTTTATTCTGAACCACTTGTAGACAGAAAACTCTGTCCAATAAAGACATGGATGCAAGAAGAACGATTCCCTCTTTTAAAAACAATTGCTTCAAAACATCTATGCACTCCTGCATCATCCATATTTTCTGAAAGATTGTTCTCAGAATATGGTAATATCTATGAGAAAAAGAGATCTAGGTTATTGCCTAAAACAGGAGAAATGCTTTTGTTTATTCACCATAATGGGAGGAAAATAGAATGACTCTTTGCATTTACTCATTTGTTGAAATTTTATTTGTTATGTTCTTTGATAGTATTATTAACTTTCTAAAACATTTTGTTTCATTGAATTTAATAATTTAATTTAAGAGGCATTCATAAAGTATGTATGCAGGTATGGGAGGCGACATTATCTAAAAATGTTTAAATATTATCTAAAAGTGTACAAGTATGTATAAGGGGTAGGGACAAGAGGGTAAATATGCAAAGTAAGAGCAAAGTCCAGGCAGCAAATATGTAAATGGTTGGGCCATCTTTTTCATGAACTTTACTCCAAAATATTTTTCAAAATTTTTATTTTAAATAAAGACAATTTATTGAGTGAAAAAATCTATAACAAAATATCAAAAAAGGAAAAAAAAAAAAAAAGTTTATGATGAAATTTCAAAAAAATATAATAAAAGCAAAAAAAATTTAAACATTAAAAAAAAAAAAAAAATTTTATTATTTTGATAGAAAATTTTTTTGCAAAACAAATTCTTTAAATTCTCAATTTCGATCATTTTAAATCTTAAAAAAATTGTTGGAAAGTTATGACTGTGTTTTTACCCCTCTCCAAATTGAAGGGGTAATAAATTAAACATGGTCATAACTTTGGAACATAAATTAATTGATGAAATTTAAAACCTATTGATGAATTTAGCTAGAGTATTAGATAGTGTAATGAAATAACTGAATGATTTCCCTTGCATTTGGGATAGGTGGTTGAGAAAATAACCTCTAAGGTTATTTTTGTTCCCAAGCTCTAATTACCATGATTTTTTGATGCAAAACACTTTCATTCTATGGAAGCATAAAAACTTAAGTTTAGAGTTTGCGCAAAGCTTGATAATGTCAAATCTGAGACTTTTAAAAACATCATGTTAGAGCCCATTTAGCAGCGTGTCGGTAAACCATTTTGATTTAGAGTTCTCAAAATTAAATTTCTACTTAAAAGATAAATTACCCTCCCCTAAAAAAATGTATTTATTAAATAATTCTTAAGAGTTTTTCAAACCTCTTTGTGCTAGTATTATCCGGTACATCCGGCCGGATATAGTAAATATCCGGCCGGATACCGGATAGTAACTTATCCGGTATTTTCAACCGGATATCCGGCCGGATATCGTATCCGGTACACCTCTAATGTTTATATACCTATTTCATTAAAATTAAATGTATTATTTATAACTAATTAAATATGTTTATTTGTAAGGAAATACATTCATCTTTTTTTAAACACATAAGATCCAGCTTAGATTTTGTTTTGTTCTAATCTCTTTTTAAAAAATATATTTTTTATGGTGCACTGTAACTGAGACTCCGGCTAAATCGTACATTCTGAGCAATTTTAAAATAAATACCATTCAAGGCTCCTTTTATTTTAGGCAATTATAAGTTCTAATTTCATTAAATATAATGATAGAAATTATAAATATAGAGAATTATAAATAATGATAAATAATGTAAAAAATGGTAATGATAGTAATTTAATGAATTATAAATATTATATATGTATCAATGATAATAATTTAATGAATTATAAATATCATAATGAATTATAAGTATAAATACGAAATTATATTAATTACAAAATATTTTTAAGCATTAAACTATTAACAAAGAAGAAATTAGTCAGCTAATTGAAAGCAAGATATACAGTTCTGATCATGAAATTTTATCTGGCAATAACAATTGTAATAGTTTTTGTAATTAAATTTATAAGTTTTCGATTTAGTATTTTTTATAAAGTTTATAGTTGTGGTTATAGTTATTGAATGAAATTGTGAAAAACTTCTATCAAAAATCCCAAGGCATTTAGAACATATTCATAAGCATGAAGAACTTGTTATAAAAGCCCTTCGTTATCCAAAAAAAAGTAAAGAGCGAAGAAATATGTGGACTTATATAGAGAGGAAAGGTGATTTTAATGTAAATATAAATAACATTAAAAATTCTAAAAAAATAACATCTATAAGAAAATGTACAGTCGACAAAGATGATGAGCTATTGCCTTGTGAATATTGTTATGGTTTTTTCAGAGCAAGGAAACTTTGTGAACATGTTTCAAAGTGTTTTAGACGTGGTAGTGATAACAAGGAAATAAGTTATATAAAAGCTTCTTGAGATAACATTGTTTCTTCTATGAAAGTTTGTGCAGATTATTGTGGACCAAAAAAAATTGGAAATCCTCATCTTGTTTTAAGAATAGGATATTCATTAAAAACTTTAGCTATAATAGTCAGGTTAGAGTACCTGAAATTAGGATTGGGCTATGGTAGAAAAAGGCAGGTGGAAACGCCAAACTGACATAGATGCTTTAGATGATCCAATAGAAAAAAAGCTTGCAGAACGATTTAAACTATGTTACATTAAAAGCAATAAAAAACGGAGAGGTATGGAATTTTGTTTTTTATTCACTTATTAAAAATTTAATGACATCTTATTTTATATATTTTTCTGTTCAGATATTGAGAAATTTTTGTATTCAGAAATAAAATTTTAAATGCTTTTATATGTTATCATGCTGTATATGTTATTAAATTAGGTTCTTCTGTAAAAGCATTAGTTCCGATAATTTTTACTGAGGAAGTTGTTGGTGCAATCAGACTATTAATCAGCTCAAAGCAATATGCTAATATTTCTCCTAAAAATAATTATGTGTTTGCCCGTGGTTGGGACGCGCTGCAATCTTTAACAAAAAAGTTTAATTTATCGAAGCCAAAGCTTATTACACCAACTAGAAAGTATTTGTCAACCATTCTGCAGTTGTTAGACATGAATAATGCTGAGCTTTTGTGGCTCACAAATCACATGGGGCATACTAAAGATGTTCATCAAAATTGGTATCGACGTGAAGATTCTACTATTGAATTAACAAAAGTAGCAAAATTTCTTCTTGCTAAGGATAATGGCGATGCAAGGTGCATTCAAAATAAGAAAATCGATTCACTATTACAAAATAGTTTTAAAGGTTTGTTTTTTTTACTTACTAACTTTTTTTATTTTTAATTTGACTTTTTTTTTCTGCATGTAAATGTTGGTTACCTGTCAAAAAATTTTCTATAGGTGAGTTAAGGTGAGTATATATTGAGATCATTTGCAAAACGCCTTAAGTTTGAGTAAACTCATTTTAAGAATGAAATAATAATATACCCTTAGCATCAATAGAAACTGATATTTTCTTTTTCCAGTTTTAGGCCAAAAAGTTTTTTTTTTTTTTTTCAGCCTAATATTTAGATTTTCAAATTTCAGTAGAATGTGGAAATGGAATTAACTTACAATTTTTTGTGAATTTTTGTGCAGATAGGCACCTCATGTTGTGTCTTATATATCCCGTTTTGTAAAATAGTATTTTTGAATGCTAAAAAACCTTGTTATAAATCTGTTATTAACTGCTTAGTATCGTTTTATATTACAAATATAAATATAATGAATAATAAAGCTTTTAAGACAAACAGGTGTGGAAAAATAGGCGTATAACAGCACCCACAAATGTGTTTTAAAACAATTTTAATTTTAAAACAAATGTTTAACGTTGATTCATGTAATGGTTAAAAAACAGGTAATGCCCTTTATTCAAATTTATAAATTGTCGCAGTTGTAACCATTTTTTCGTTATTGGTTATAGGGATATTAAATGTTAATACAGGAGGAAGTGCTAATGTTTGCACTTATTCAGATGAAGATGTTGGAGATGCAAATAGCAATGTTTTAGATGAAAATAGCAATGTCATTGAAAATGAATTAATGTCGAACGTAAAAGAATACAAAATAAAAGACTAAACATGCTCAAAGAGGTTATTTTTTGAAATTAAATTAACTTTGCTTTTCTCTTTAAAAAGAAAAATTCGTTTCAAAATTATAAACAAACCTTTAGTATTTGAATTTTTTTGTTCCTTATTATTTAGTCGAAAAAAACTTGGAAAGGTTGGTCGGAAGAAGAAAACGCATCACTTCGTAAAGCGTTTTCGATATATATCACGAGAAAAATTCCGTGTCCGCTTCTTGATGTTAAAAAAATTATCGAAAGTATACCTTGTCTTCGAAGAAGAGGGCATAAGATCGTTTAAGACAAATTAAACAATATTATTAGAAAGAGATGATTTATGCATGTTTATTTATTTATATACAAATAATGGTGTTTTGAAGTAGTTATGTTGAAATCAAATTTATTAACGTTGATTAAATATTATATAATTATTTCAAGTGTATTATCATTTTAAGTGTGTATAAAAAGATCAGTGTTATATTTGTATAATGAATATATATCAAATAGCAAGAAATATTTATTTACTTTGTTTTTATGCATATTTTTAGATTTCTCTAATAATTCACCGAAAAAAGATGTTTTGCGAGTAAATCCAACTTTAATCTTAAAATTTAATCTTAAAAAAAGGCTAAAAAAGATTCAATAACTTTGTTATAATGATTTTAATTAATCAACCTCTCAAAAAAAAATTAAAATCATAAAACGATTACAAAACGCTCGATACGAGAAAAAAGTTATTGGCATTACAATTTTCATAACTTTTTTAAATGTGATTTTCAAAACAATAGAAAAAGTCGCGTTTAAAGAACGCGAGAAAATGCGCCTGTATGTAAATCGTGTAAGCTAATAACTTTATAGTGGAGCAAAAGTGCGCTACTATCTCAGAATATAACACAGTATCTTAAGAATCTAAATGTATTTGGCATTATATTTGCAAAATAAAAAAACATTTTTTTAGAGTCTCGATAATGGTGAGTTTTCTAGTTTTTTAGTGTAAGCTAAATGTTCGTGTAAAGCCCCATTATTGAGACTTGAAAAATACCAGTGCCACTCATCGAAATACATTGAATTTTTTGCTGTTATTTTTATCGGGACTTAAAAATGTCCCGACAAAAAAAAAAGTCCTCGTAAAGGGTCAGTATAAAACCGCAATGTCTCACTAAAGGTACGAATGTACTTACATACATACATACATACATACATACATACATACATACATCTGGTTTAAAGTGCTTTTCACAAACAAAGACTTTCCCAGAGTTGAGTTGCTTTTTAAATTGTTGGTCAATCACATGAAGTTTAAATATTTCAACACCTTTTGTTCGTCTTGAAGTACCACAGTTTGTTATACTGCAATTATTTCCAAGGCATATTTGACTTTAAAATTAACACTGAAATAATAACCAAAAAATCTATTACAAACAATCACTACAGATAATATATAGAATGTAATAATTATTTAATCATATCATAATGACTTCCTTGCGTTATATCACAAAGGTTTATGTTACTATGTAGTATTACTCTATAGTGAAGTAGTACATGTATTATTAGTACATGTATATAATCTCCCAATGTTAGAAAATAGAAGATCGAGAGGTGATGCAGTGCAACTATATAGGTTTATAAATAGTTTAGATATAGTTAATTGGTACAATCATCTAATATTTTTAGAAAATTCTATCGCAAGAGGCCACAATAAAAGATTATGCAGAAAACACAAAAAAAAAAAACACAAATGTTTGCCTAAATTTTTTATTAATAGAATAGTGGACAAATGAATTTATTTGTCACCAGAAGTTGTGAATGCAAAAACTTGAACATATATAATATCCCGTATAATAAATAGATCCAAAATTATAAAAAACTATTAAGCCTTGAGATAGATAGACTCTAAACCATCAAGATTTATAAATATTGATGGTTTAGAGTCTATCTACATTAGACTCAAGGCTTAACAGCTTGATTCTAAAAATTATTATACAGTATTTATAAATATATAGTAAATAAAAGAAAGCACCTTATATTTGTAGAATACAATGAACTAAAATAGGTACTTTTCCTTTCGTAAATATTTGTAAATCACCTGTTTAAATATAATCTGACTTGAAGTACATCTCCAGACTATCAACGAGTTCACAAAACAGTATTGAATTATCTAATTTGCTCTTTAATCTTAATGAGTTAACTAACTAAATGAATTTCTAATTTATACTCTAATAAAGCAAAAAACGTGTTCGTTTCTTGCTTACGGTCTGTAATAAATTAAGCATTTTATTATCTCTAAGAATGCTATCTTTAAAAATAGTTCAGAATCTATACTATCAATATTACATAATTTTCATGATTTTATTTAATGAACTTCAAAATCAAATTATGTTATAAGCATTATACAATTTTAATAAGCTTGTGTGCACTGTCACGCTTAATTTACGCTCTATTTTTGTGTCAAAAAGTTAAACAATGAGTTTTACGAAGCTTTCAAACCAGTTTAAGTCTATTAACTATGATTAAATCAGCTTTTCTTTTAATTCCTAAAGAAATCAAGTAAAAATAAGCTGCATAAAAAGCAAGTTTTAAAAAAAAGTTAAAAAGAATAAAACGCTTCAGAATGTGTTGTTACGCAGTAGTTTGACTATAAAGATCGGTGTCGTAAATTAATATGCAAATGGCTTCATCGCGTAATTTCTAGTTCTGAAAGCGATTATACAACCGTCTATTTATGAAACTCTATTTTAAATAGAAACACATATTGAAAGATTTTTAATTTTATTTCAACATATTTTTTATTCATGTACATTACACAATGATATTTTGAGTATTTAATTTTTTTGATGAACTAATGGTTAGATAAACAAAATTTAAGTACGTAAAAATGCTTTCGAAAGAACAACTTCTAAAAAACATAAATGGCGATTCTATACTTGATCTAGAAATAGGAAATCACAAAAAAGAAAAAGTTCCAAAAGTTGATATAAATAAAATACGAGAAGAAATAGAAAAAATAACATCATTAGAAGAAAGCGAAACAAATAAAATTACTCAACTAAAACAATTAGAGAAAGAACAATATAAACCTTTGATCCATGAACTAGCTTACAAGAAGTCAGTAGAAGAACTGAAAGATTTGATAATAGTTTTAAACGATCTAGGCTATTTAACCTGCAAACTAGGAGAGCTAAGTGGAGATCTGAAGTATTACACTGAGGCAGCGGTATTTTATCATTACATAATTGCAATACTGACGGAAAAATTCAACGAAAGTGTAATAAATGTAGAAGCTAAAAATGAATTTATTATTTCAAACTATATAAATCCAGAGAATCAATTAGTTCATTTACAGAACCTAATATTTTCAGTGATTGGTGGAGACCAAAATAATATTCCCATAGTGCACGAGGAAGCAAAAATAAATAAAAATTTACTACTAATATTGCGAAACGAAACCACTGAAGTGCTAAAAGAAGTAGAATCTTATCGAAAACAAATTAATGTGAAAGATCAAAAAGAGAAACAAAAAAATCAAGTACTTTACGTACATGTAGTAAAAAATTGGTTTGAAGAAATAGCTGATCGAATGAAAAAGTTTCTGGCTAAGTTATATGGTGATAGTGTAAAACAAATTGCTATAAATGCACCTTGCAAATTTGCAGTAATAGGGCTTGGTTCAATGGCACTAAAACAAATGACTCCTTATTCAGATTTGGAGTTTGCTATTTTGACTCAGAATAGCAATTATAAAAAAAGCGATGATCCCAAAATCAAAAGCTACTTTAATAATCTAAGCCATTTAGTGAACTTCAAAATAATCAATTTAGGAGAAAGTATTATTCCAACTAGTAAATATCTCTTAGATATGAGTCATTTAGTACCCGTAGCTGTTAGTTTTGATCTGGGAGGTAAAACGCCTCTTGGAAGAATTAGTGGGGATAAAAAATATGAACTAATACAAACAATAAACAGGATGCTGAGTTTTGTATATAATAAAAATAACTGGGCGAGTCATATTGATAAAAACTTGCCTTATATATTAGAAAAGGTGTGTTTTGTGTATGGAGATGATGAGCTTGTAAAAGATTATAAAAATAAAGTTACAAACTTTTTGCTAAGTACTGGTAATGAAAAAAACCAAAAGCTCAGATTAAACTGTGAAATAAGAGCCTTTAAAATACTACAAGAAGGAATAGTAGAAATTGATTATCTTCATTCAACGTCGACTCTGCAACGGAAAGAAACTTTTTTAAAAGGCGATATACATAAATTAAAGCCTGAATTATTTTATACTGAAGGTCGCTTATTCCAAGTTAAGCAAGAAATTTACCGATTGCCTGATCGTATGGTTTACAACCTTGCTTTGTGTTATGGTATTGAAGGAGAAAGTGCTTGGGATTTAGTAGATAAATTGGAAAACAAAGGAATAATAAACTCACAGGCAGCACTTAATCTTAAAAATGCTATAACATTTGTCACTACCATTAGACTAAAAACCTATTCTCACCATAAAGCACAGAAAGAAGATATGTCAATATTTGTAAGACCAGTTGGAACTGAGTATGATATGAAAAAACAAGCTACACAAATATTTTATTTAGATGAAGAAGACTTACAAGAGCAAGGAGGATTATTTCAGTATTTTTATACGGCATTACCTTTGTATGATAGATTGAAATGTTTCTGTGACCAATATCAAACGTTAGATAAAGCAAGCAGACAAATATTTTTTAAGGACAGTAAGTTTTATAATGATGACTATGCTACTAAAGGTTTTATTCATTATAGATTAGCGCAATATAAAGAGGTTCAAAGCAATTTAGAAAAAGCTTTAGAGGATGAAAATAACAAAGACAATTTAAAAATAAAAAATTATTTAGGAAACATATTATTAAAAATTGGTGAAAACAATAAGGCTACTCAGCATTACATAGACTGTTTAAACATTACAAAAAAAATTTACAAAGATGAACGTCACCCAAGTGTTGCTGATTGTCTAAATAATCTTGGAACAGCTTATAATGCTAAAGGACAGTATAATGACGCAGTTAAATGGAACAAGGCAAGTTTAAAGATTTACAAATTTATCTATCAAAATGAGCCACACTTATGTATTGCTAATTCCTTAAATAATCTTGGAGAGGTGTTTAGAAACCAAGGTCAATATGAAAAAGCAATAAAAAAGTTTAGAAAAAGCTTAAGTATAAAGAAACTTTTTTACAAAGACGAACCTCATTCAGATATTGCTTCTATTTACAACAATTTAGGATTAGTCTTTGGAGCTAACGAACAATATGATCAAGCTATTAAGTGCTACAAGAAGAGTAAAAAGATTTACCAATTAGTATACAAGAATGAACCTCACCCTTATGTTGCTGATGTTATGAATAATCTAGGCATAATTTATAAGAGTAATTTACAATATGATCAAGCAATTAAATATTATCGAGAGAGCTTAAATATTTACAAATTTTTTTATCAAAGTGATCTAAACCAAAGTGTTGCTGACATTTATAATAACTTAGGGTT